GGAGGAGGAGGGCTTTTCCACGAGATGCCACGATGATGACGATGACGATGATGGTGATGAGGGTGGTCGTGATGATGCTGGTGATGCTGACAATGGCGATGACGACGATGGTGATGAACATGATGAATGTGACGGTGGTGATAACCATGATTATGACGATACTGATGATGGCGATGGTGATTTTGCTGCTGATGATGATGACGATGATGCTGCCAACGGCGACGACGACGAATACGACGACGACGACGACGACGACGACGACGACGACGGCGACGACGACGACGACGACGACGACGACGACGGCGGCGGCGGCGACGACTACGACGACGACGACGACGACGGTGATGATGACGCTGACGCTGGCGATACATACAAATATGATGATGGTGATGATGATGATGATGATGATGATGATGATGCTGATGCTGATGCTGATGCTGATGATGATGATGATGATGATGATGATGATGATGATGATGATGATGATGATGATGATGATGATGATGATGAGGACGAGGAGGATAACGGGGAGCGTTCGGAGGAGGATGAATATGGCGATGATGATGATAAGCAGGATGGGGGGAGGAAGGAAGCACCGACTCACAAGGCTCATTGGGCTCATGTGGCCCATGGGGAATCGTATGGCACATGGACACATGGGCCTCCGTCCGTCCTCCGCCTTCATCCCCGTCAGCCTGCCCCAAACCATTTCTGGGGGCCCAAAAAACCATTTCTGTAAGTAGGAAAATGGTTTTCCAGAAGCTCGGACCCTATCCACTCTTGGGGCCGTCTTGGGGCCCTCTTGGACAGTTTTTGGGCCCTCTTGGGCCGTCTGGAGGCTCTCTTGGACTGTGCTCGTTCCCTTTGGGGGGCCTCTGGGGCTGTCATGGGAGGATCTTTGCGGCCTCTTGGGCCCTCTGGGGCCGTTCTGGACCAGAAAAGGCGAGAACCCCCTAAAACCTTCAAAGACTATGTTTTTGGTCTCCTGAGACAGTCTGGGGTGCTTCTGGGGCCGTCCGAGGGGGGGGGGGGGGGCGGGCGTGGAACCTTGAGTTCCCAACCCTACGCCCCTCCCCTGGACCGCTCCCTAGAGGGCTTCGCCTCACCAGAACGTCATCACTCGTACCTTGCTCTTTCCGTCATCCTCGTCTGTTGTCTTTGTTTTTTCTATTCTGTTTCCCAGGGCACGCGCGTCCTCAGAACATCGGCCACTGAGAGCTCGTTTTCCAGCGCTCTTTTCGGCCTCCAAGCGGCCAAGATGGCCTCCAGGACGGTTCTCAGCGAGCGAAGACCAAGACGACACCAAAACGGCTCCAGATGGTGCAAGACGGCTCAATGACGACAGCCTCAAGACGGCACGAAAAGCCGACAAGACGGCCCAAGAGGGCTCCAGGAGGCCCTCCAGGAGAGCCCGAGGAGGCCAAACCATGGATTGTTTTGAATTTGTCGCCGATTTGGGTTCCCTAACGCCCAAGACGGCCCAAGGGCCTTCTAAGATAGCTCCAGAACAGCCCATGAGGCCCCTAAGAGAGCTCCGAGTCGACCCAAGAGGACCCCAGGATCGCCCAAGACGCTCCAATGAGGGCCCTAAGACTGCCTCAAAGCGCTCCAAGAGGGGACCAAGACGGCCCACAGTGGCCCCCAAGACAGCCTCCGAAGGCGTCAGACGGGCCAATCGCCTCCCAAAGACAGCCTAAGAGGTCCCAAGAGGCCGCCAAGAGGGCCCAGGTTGATCCCAAGGGGCCCCCAAGAGGCTTTCCACGAGGCTTCCAGAGGGCCTCCAAGAGGCCGCACGAGGGTCCAAAGAAGATTTCTCCTCATCGTCTTAATGTTCTCCCTCTACTGAAGTATTCTTATTTATACATGGCTCCTCCCAGTCGCGCCCCGGGGCTGGTCGAAAGGGCGGGCCGAGCGCTTCGCCTGAGACTTCCTTTCCATGTATGATCCTGAAGCTGAAAAATGGGCAACAGTTTTACACTGGAGGGCGGGCCGCTTGCAAAATGTGGCTCTCACCTCAGCGCCGCGAACACTCGTCTTAAACACTTGCACGAGCTTCACGGATTGATGGCGGGTGGTTTTCAACATGTGGCTCTCGCATTAGCGCCGCGCACATTCGTTTCAAAAACTTGCAGAAGTCTCGCGAATTGAGGGCGGGCCATTTTCAACATGTGGCTCTCGCCATTGCGCCGCGCACATTCGTTTTAACACGTGCAAGAGCTTTAGTGAATTCAAGAGCCGTCCTTACCGCACCTCTCGTCGGCATGGCGCTGTTCCTGCACTCGGCCTCCTTTCTGCCTCGCTG